GACGAAGAGATCCAAGTCTTCAACTCCACTATGAGGGCTTTGGAATCTGCTGTCGTGGTTTGTCTATGATAATTCAACTTTAAAGTGTGCAAGTATAAACGATGTGTGTGCTTCTTGTTTCCTTCAATGCCACTAATTCTGTTACATCAGAATTATCTTAATTAGTATTGCGTTTGCCGCTTTTTGCTGTTTTCTTAGAATTTCTGTGAAAATCTAAAGTCAGACTTGCCTTTCGGCCAATACACAGGGCCGAGTGCCACAGATTCCATATTTGATGCCCGCCCATGCCAAACATGCCTCTGGAAGAGGCTTGGCCCAATGTTTGTTGCAAATCTTCTCAGCTTCTTGCTGCTCTTCTTCACTGCACTGCTTCAGGAAGGTTCCAGGTCCTAGCGGGGACTCAGATGTTGGATGTTTCGCCTTAAAGATCCAGATCCAGTGGTGTCCCCAGTGGTGCAGTCCTTGGGTATCGACCTCTTTGAGGTAAGTAGCAGCATCCGCGCTCCCTCCCAAAGCAGTCCACTCAGTTGTGGTAGAAAACCTCACGCAGCTGTCATCATTGCGTGTGCAATGAAACGAGTGCACGAAAAACATGGGGTGCCGTGATATGTTGGGAATCCTTCAAAATTCTTTGGAATCATCTTTGTTTTGCAGCATTACCAGTACCAATCGTTTACCAACCATCTGCCGTTCCTTGTTTCCATACATCGACCTCGCCGATTTGCCCAGGAACTGTGTGTCTTGTGCCACCAGACTCACTCCAAGGCCAAGCTTTGATGCTGAACCTGCACATAGATTAGAAACCACTTGCCACTGGTCCTCCCCGTTCCAATAATACTTCAACATATTCCAACATCCTATGACATCACCTGCCACTAATCTCACCTAAAACTCATCAGCAAATCACTATTGCTCTGCCTAGCGCGTGCTGTGGGAAGCGCTGGCCATCGGGTGCCATTTCGCCACGCACGAAGTCAAGGTCTGTCTTCGGACTCAGCATCTTCACCTTCGCCGCCATGTGACTACCTGGCGAACTCGACTCGATGATCACTAGGAAAAAACAAAAACATTGGGAGATATTTACAACATCATTTTAGGATATGATTCCAGATTGAAATATAATCAAATATCCGACATCTGATATATTAGATGGAAATGGAGATTTCCGAAATATCCATCAAGTCAGGGATGACCATTGAATCCGTGACTTAATATTGAAGCCCATGGTAAATTGGGGAACCGCCCGCTTTAAGACATCCCCATGTATATAATATACAGATACCTGTCAAACAAACACACAGAGAGAATAAGGTGGCAAACAGAAAGATAAGCCATCAGCCATTACATCCTGATTTTGTGGGTCAAATATCCAATAATACACGTAATTAGCTGGGTACCTGTTGCAGATGTTAGCAGGTTTGCCACATTGTACAGCATACACGTATGCATTGACAGCAAATAGACAAACCATAGCAACATGAGCCACTTATCTGACCTGCTGATCCAGCCATGCTTTCCATTTGTCGGGGACGCCTGGTTGGCATCTCACAAAGACGTTGGCGATCTTTCTATAGCCATCTTCGGTCTTCATAAGGAGCCTCGTTTCATCTGGCGAAACCTACCATTTTTCCAGGGCACATCACCTGTTGCAAGGTAGCACAGATGCTACCACAGTCACAGCACACAACAGTAGCGCAACCTATCTCACTTTATCTTAGCTTGCGCCAAAGCGGGGCTGCGAATTGCAGCCAAGTCAGTTCAATTGTACATGTAATGGCGTGATGCCAGGTGTAGCCTACTATTCCTGACACCCCTCCACAGCTTTATGACATGCTGTCATACTGCTGCCGGATGTCATCCACCACACTGCTTGTATGGTGTGTATTCAGCTTGAATGGCCTCTTGCCGCTCAATTTGAACACATCTATGAGACTGTGCACTCGCCATTCCACAGGTAGACCTGTGGTACCTTTCACCACTGCCGATGATCCACACTGGATCTGGCACAGGAGCTGGTTGGTCTGGCTCTCTGCGCTGTCGCAGTTGTGGTTGTTCTACACTGGCTTGTGTGGCTACTGGTACTGCTGTACAAGATGAGCTGCTTCGAGCAACTCCGGATCCCGCTGTTCCCGCGGATCTACCCGCAGGGAACCCAGTTTGGTCAGTAGTCGCGGGGATTCCCGCTGACACTGTGGGCGCCTTGCGTCTTTTGGGCTCATCACGTTTTGTTGATTGGTCTCTGTTCTCGGGTTGCACCTGACGTCCGATCGATCTGATCACTCGACCTGCACGCTTCCAAAGGTGCACAAGACCTATCTGCCAACACGTGTAATATCAGCAGGTAGAGCAGAAAGCTGTAGCCTGCGTCGCCAGATTCCTCTGGCCTTGGGCCTTTGCGGCCATGAAGAGTGATGCCAGTACCAAGCCCCTCTTGAGTGGCATCATCTCCACTAGTTGAGTGATTCGGTTGCCGTCCAAGGCTTTTGTTCCGATATCACTCCCGTTCTTGTCGGTGCCGATTTTACGAACTTCCAGTTCAACTTTTTCGACGACCTTATCCTGCACCCAAAGTTCTTTCAGTTCTAAGTGCTTAGGCCTGCCGACCCCATGTCGCTTTGAGATGCCTTTGGCAGCTGATGAATCTGTCAGACATGCCAGTTTATATTTGCGATGCATCTCCGCGAGGATATTCTGCACCATGATCGCTGCTGCCGATCCGTACTCAGCTTCTCCCGAACTGAGCGCCGCAGTAGTCTGCTGCACGATGTGTCCAACAAGTGCGATCCTAGTCTGATGGCTGAGGAGCTCATCGACTTTTGGCTCTCTTGGCACGAACCCCAGTCTGAGTCCGTGTGCACCAGGATTTCCTTGGGTCCGTCCTGATGCTCAGACACCCACGTCTCTGTTGGGTATTTTGCCAGATACCTGCCCAACCGTTTCCGTCTGAGGTTGTGCAGTGCGTTGGCTTGGCTATTCCAGACGAACGACAGATACAGCGCCGTCCCGGCTGTCAGGGCTTTGTCCAAATCCCTGGAATTCTTTCCTGTTTCTTTGGCACAGGTGTGTCTACTCCTTTGCAGCCTTCCAGGCCGATGTCCTTGACAAGGAGTTTTGCGTACTTTGGATCTGCTTGCCAAGTGAACGCAGCCTGCGACCAAGTGATCAGACGATGTAAGTGTTCGCCTGAGGTGGTTTCGCCTCCGTGAGCCGGATCTCCAATCCTGGGGAGCCCTTTCGCTTCGAAACCTTCCCTCATCACCTCGTCCAATCTGTCCAAGCCCTCGGCCGGGCCTTCTGCCAGGAAATCGTCCCCATGGCAGGACATTGTCACACCCCATTCTGGATGGTAGAGCATGGAACTGTTTCGATAGTTCTGAAACCCACTGGCTTAAGTGTTCCGATGATTTCTTGACTCCAACACTTTGATGCTTCCCTTGTGCCGTTCATGGCCTTGTTCAGGTGCCAAAGGTACTCCGACTGCGGCGCGCTGCTGAAGACACGATCTGGGACCATGGTTGATTTCCATAGCCACGCATCTGGAGTGAACTCCATGCGGATCGTTCGGAAGTGGCTTCCAGCCATCTACCCATCTGCCTTTCACAATCTTCAAGCCCATGTCTTTGGCTTGCTTCCACGTAATGTCTGTCTTAACATTGTGGGATTCCATCTTCAGGAGCTCTCTTCCACGTCCCCTTTTCACTCCTGTACATTCATCCACTGATCCATCGGCATGATGTCCGCCAGATGGGCAACTGGAGGTGTTTCGTGCGGTGTTGGTTGTCCAGCGATGATCTCACGCAGCAAGACAGGGCCGAAGCCCGATTCCCAGAGTTGCTTGGGCGGGGCAGCTCATCAGGAGACACGGCCACAAGGACAGCTGTGCTAGAAGACACAACTGATCCCAAGCAGAAGCCGCGTGTGAGGAGTGGACGGCCCAAAAGACTCGTCACTGAGGCCGGTGTGCGAGTAAAAAGGCTCGGTGACACAACCTTGGTCCTGCGGCCCGGTAAAATCAAGCCACTTCATCCACTTCGACTTAAGTCAGTTGCAAGGAGCGGCCTGCCAGAGGAGTGCTCTTCGTGCGACGAACGCACAAGGCAAACAGGCCAGCTGCTGCCAAGTTTGCCCAACAGCATTTGGACGAGGTTCAAGCCAGTGAAGCCACAGCTGACAGCCTTTATCAGGCGGTTCCACGACCTAAGAAATAAGAAAGAAACAAGGCCTTTCGGGGGACCTGGAGGGTCAGCCTCAGCAACAGCAGTTGTTGCGTGAGTTGGCTCAAGCAAGAGCGGCAATTCACGCAATTCAGACCTTGGCTGGGCAGGTTGAAGCTCAGCAAACGGCGCAACTCAACCAAATGAGTCAGGCCAGAAGAGACCCAAGACTGTCTGACTTGAGTGGGATGATCCCCACAAATGAGTTGCTGAGAATGTGGTGCATCCTCATCCTTCAACCCCATCGTGGACACCCGAACTTTGGGGAAACCAGAGATCTTCAAAAGCGACCCATCCGAGTACAGCGATTGAAGCTTTGTCCTGAAGAGCTACTTGGCGCGCATCTCGCCTGACTACATAGATCTTTTGGGCAGGATCGCTGGCTCAAGGGTCTCAATGCCCAACCGGCTTCTGAGTGAAAGTGATACTGACTGCAGGAAGCTGTCAGCTCAGCTGTACTACATCCTGGTGCTGTTGGTGAAAGGCAGGGTCCTGGACGTAGTTCAGAACACAAGTCCTGGTGAAGGTGCTGAGTCCATGAAACGACTGGGCGTGTAGCCAGTCGGTCCGTGGGCACACTCAGCCTAATCCTCAACAACAGATTTTCTGGTGAAAATCTCAGGAAAATCCAGAGGAAAAGGGGATGGTAAGTCCAGTAGTAGCAAGATGGTAAGGGTAAAGGTGGTAAACCAGACAACCCCCGCAAAGATAAGGATGATAAGGAATGTAGATACGGTATGATACGGTAAGAAAGTGGGTCACATCAAGGCAGACTGCCGAAAAAACGCATAGCAAGCAAAAAGGCTGCCAAGGGGAAGCAAAACCCCCAAAGAAAACCAAACGCAGCTGCCCCACATGATGATGAGCGAGAACCCTTATCAGCAAGCAGTGGATGGAAACACGTTTTGATAGCTGCGCTCCCCGGTTCCTGCAAACACGTTTTGGTTGACACTGGAGCCGGGTCCCGTTTGTTTGAAAAGAATTTTGACCCAAACGCCACCACCACAACCAAGGGCTCAAGTAGTGGCATGGTCAGTGTAACAGGGGAAACTTTGGACACCGGTTTCAAGAAGAAAGCGTGGTTGCAGTTGACAATGTTAAGAAGTTTTCGGTTGAATACTGTGAATCAGACAAGATCAATTTCAGCGTTTTGTCAGCTGGTCAAGCTGCGCAATGTGTAATTTGGACAATCATTAGTCCTGAGTTTCACGGTCTTGTTCAAAACGAACGCAAAGGATTTGAAAAACATCCCGGATAGGACCCCGTCAATTCCACTCAAGAAAAACAGAGGCGTGTTTTGGTTACCCATCAAACCACTAAAGCGCAACAACTCCTATGCGGGTAGCACCGCTGGTCATGATGTGGGAAGCTCCACTCATGATGTTCTCGGCGCTGTGAGGCCAGCAGCCAAAACAGTGCCTGCTGAAGCCTAGGCTGAGGAAGGTGCGCCATCAGGCGAGGGTGACGTAGAAGTGGTAGTTGGGGACCCCCAACCAGAAGAAGTAGTTGAAGGGCCTGTCCCACCAGTAGGTGAGCCCCCTGAAGAAGTTTCAGAAGATACAAGAAAACCCGAAGCAAAGAAAATCCCAGATCACGTTTCAAAGGAAGAGTTCAACGCTCACATGCTGACACGCCTTCCGGCACGTACATGGTGTGACTTTTGCATGAAAGGCAAGGTCAGAGAGGACGGTCACTTCACAGGTCTTGAGGGAGTAAGCCCATCCGAAGCCCCGCGAAGTACGCAGTACATCTGGTGAATGAGGTGTTGAGGAGCACAGGACGCCAGAAAGTGGGAATCAACCACATGGCGCGCAACTTCGCCAAAGAAACCCTGCGGCGAGGAACAAAGAGGCGAAAGGAGACCAGCAGAGACTGACTTGGAAGCACTGGAGTATGACGCGCTCCACGCTGCCCTGTTGGATCCAGAGCCTCCTGGCGCTTGCGGATTCCTCTGTCTATCCGCTCTTGTTGTTTGGCAAGGCTTCGCTTGCCTCTTTTGTTGGCACTCTTCTTCTTCCTGGGCGCCGTTGTGCCGATGCGGGGCCACTTGCTATCAGCTAGTGGCGCGGGGCAGCCCGCGGCCACTTGGTGGTGTGGTGCTAAATAGTACCACCGGTTGGTGCAGCGCAACCCGCTACCAACCAGCTTGTGCGGATCTGCCCGCGACCAGCTTGAGCCCTGGTTGCAGAACCAAGGGCTCGGCTACCATACAAGATAGCACAGATGCTACCACAGTCGCAGCACACAACAGTAGCGCAACCTATCTCACCTTTTCTTAGCTTGCGCCAACGAGGCGCTGCGAATTGCAGCCAAGTCAGTTCAATTGTACATGTGAAGGTGTGACGTCATGTATAGCCTACTATTCCTGACATCTATGTTTGTAATGGATAGCTAAAAAATAGTCGTTTCTATATATATATACTTATCTCTGTATGGGTATCATCAAGATATGTAATGTATATACATACACACACATATATATATAAATAAGCTGCATACTTGGTGTAATGTCTTGTCTAAAATCATACATACAGGCATCATCAAGATAGTCTCACACCTTTGCACAATGCCCCAAAATACCAAAAACAACGATGCCATCCAAGCCGCATAAAAACTAGTTCAAGCGCCCATACCATAATCCCCTTCAGTTTGGAAACAGCCAAAGGCTGGAATTGATCCCCAATTTTTTTCAATCTTTTCCACAGCCAGCCCCATTCCAATCATCACCTTCGCCATCCTCCTCACCAAGCAGCTGGACATTCTTATGGTTTCCTACCGAGTTGGACACGTTGAAGGCTCCCAGGGCATCCCCATCATCCGTGAGCTGCCTCGCCACAACCGTTGGTTGATCCGAAAGGACCGGAATATCATGTGCCATGCATGCAAAAACATGCAGAAAGTATGTCAAAAATCACCAACCATATCATAAATTCAGATGAAGCTCTACTCAATTCTACCTTGAATCACCTAAATTAAAAAAGAACTTCGACGAACTACCAACATCAATAACTAATATATATTTACAACAACAACAACAGCAGCAACAGCAACAGCAACAGCAACAGCACCACCACCACCACCACCAACACCAACACCAACCCCCAACCACAACAGCAACAGCAACAGCACCAGCAACAGCAACAGCAGCAACAGCAGCAACAGCAGCAACAACAACAACAACAGCAACAACAGCAACAACAACACCAACACCAACACCAACACCACCACCACCACCACCAACAATAACAACAACAACAACAACAACACCAAAAACACCAAAAACACCAAAAACACCAACACCAACACCACCACCACCACCACCACCAACAACAACAACAACAACAGCAACAACAACAACAACAACAAGAACACCAACACCAACAAACAACAAACAACAAACAACAAAGGGTAGGAAATTGTTTGGGGATTTATTTTTTTTAGTTTGGGGATTTTTTTTTGGATTTCCGGTTCTCACCATTTTCCATGCTATTTGCAGCATTTTGGAGCTGGAAACTGCCATTTCCACGGTATGTGCAACGGTTTTGAGTTCGAACCTCTCATTTTCCATTGTATTTTCCACGGTATTTGCAACAGTTTGCAGCATGTTCTGTCCATTTTCCATGCTCTTTGCAGCATTTTTGAGCTGGAATCTGCATTTCCACCGTATGTGCAACATTTTACAGCTACATTCCTCACAGTACTTGCAGGATTTTGGAGCTGAAGGCTGACATTCCAACAGTTGTTTGTTGTTACTGTTACTGTTGTTGGTGTTGGTGTTGGTGTTGTTGTTGTTGGTGTGTTGTTGTTGTTGGTGGTGGTGGTGGTGGTCGTGTTGTTGCTGTTGTTGTTGCTGTTGTTAGTGTGTTAGTGTTGTTATGTTAGTGTTGTTAGTGTTGTGTTAGTGTTGTGTTAGTGTTGTGTTAGTGTTGTGTTAGTGTTGTGTTAGTGTTGTGTTAGGGTTGTTGTTGTTGTTGTTGGTGGTGGTGGTGTTGTTGTTGTTGGTGGTGGTGTTGTTGTTGTTGCTGTTGTTGTTGTTGTTGTTGGTGTTGTTGTTGTTGTTGGTGGTGGTGGTTGGTGTTGGTGTTGGTGTTGGTGTTGTTGTTGTTGTAGTTGTAGTTGTTGTTGTTGTTGTTGTTGTTGGTGTTGTTGTTGTTGATGTTGCTCCACACCTCATGGAAAAGCAAAAAAGCAAAGAAAAGCAAAAAAGCAAAAAAGCAAAGAAAAGCAAGAAAAGCAAAAAAGCAAAGAAAAGCAGAAAAGCGAGAAAAGCAAAAAAGCAAAGAAAAGCAAGGAAAGCAAAAAAGCAAAAAAGCAAAGAAAAGCAAGAAAAGCAAAAAAGCAAAGAAAAGCAGAAAAGCGAGAAAAGCAAAAAAGCAAAAAAGCAAAGAAAAGCAAGGGAAGCAAAAAAGCAAAAAAGCAAAGAAAAGCAAGAAAAGCAAAAAAAGGAATAGAAGCAAAGAAGCAGAGAAGCACTGCAGGAGGCAATAGAGTAAGCAGGAAGAAATCCAAAAAAAAATCCCTAAACTAAAAAAAAAATCCCTAAATAAATGGCCCTCCAACAACAAACAACAAACAACAAACAACAAACAACCAACAACCAACAACCAACAACCAACAACCCACAACCAACAACCAACAACCAACAACCAACAACCAACAACCAACAACCAACAGCAACAACAACAACATCAACATAGATATAAATGAAGATATCGCTATCGTTATAGATATAAATATATATTTATACACGTACCAATATTGTATACATGTATATACATACATATAGATACACATACGGTTTTTATGAATCAGCAATTCCATTTCGCTATGACGTCGAGTGTCAAGAGCTCGGTCCCCACGTCGTGCCAGCTGGGCTTCTTGGCACGCCAGACACAATCCAGGGATGTCAGCTCCAGCGCCTCGTGGCATCGCGGGGCGGCCCTGGGGTGTTGACACAGTGGATCCAAACATCTGGGGCCATTTGGGGATGAGGATTAAGATGATGAATGTTGTATAGTAATCATGAAAACCATTGAGACATGTTGCTTGTGATGTTTTTTTGGGGGCAATTTTCCTTTGGGGGGTGCATGTCCTCTTTCTGGGGCTTGGATAGATGTGGGCATGTTCAAGACACACTCTATGTCATCTCTAGTCGGCCTGGCGTGGTGTCTTCAAACCATTCGACTTGTCCTTGGCGCACAGGATCTAACAAATGGACTCTCATGTTATCTTGGAATGAAATTCAAATCATCTCAGATAGCCTAGATTTCGATCGATTTTGCATGCTTTGCCGGAAACCGTCTTAGAATAAGCCCAAAATCAGCGGGTGAATGATCTGAATCATCATTTTCCCATCTTTCCCCTATTATATGACCTTTTTTTACACTGCCATACATTTGGAGCCTCCCGCATTTTCACATGACATGGGCGCGCCCAGTCTCCACCAGCAGAATTGCTTTTGTGAAGGATGTTGAACCTGCAGCAGTTCCAGCCGTGGACATCTATGATCTGAAAGGTCTTGCGAATAATTTCAAGTTCCTATATGACATGTATACATATCAATCGCCCATCGAATTTCAGGGAGACGTTGTGACCAGTAGGTTACAAAAAACTGTTCACAAGCTTGGGGCTATAGAATGAGGTTGCTGAGCTCCATTTTTCCCAAATGGCCTTATAGCCACAAAATGCCAATTCATTTTCAACAACCTTGATATAGGAGGAATTTTCCCTTGTTACAACAATTCCTTTCGCATTCAACAACTGCACATACAAGGACATTCCCATGTCGTTTTCAAGAACTGCACATGCAAAGGAACATCTTTGCTAGACTTGCATCCACCAATATCGATCAAGCATTTCCTAGAAAATGCCAAATTGATTTTGATAAACCCTTAAAAAGCTCATCATGTTTTCTTACAAATACAACTGCGATTTTCACGATGGGCTAACATGATTAAAATGACTCCTTTATAAAGTGAGATTCACAAGTTTAAGCCACAAAATCTTGGACCTGGATTTCATGTCACGGCTAGCCTGACCAAAATGGAAGCGTCTGTAAAAGGCACAAGGCCACAAACTTTGTAGCTTAAATTCATAGGGGCGTACATATCATATCAAATTACGTCACATCATATCGTATCTAATCTAAATCTAATATGATATAGAAAGTGAAAGAATATGCATATTAAAACGCATGTGTGTATATATATATATGTGCAAATAGAAATTATACTATATTGATTAAATTTGATTGAATTGTATTGTATTTTGAAATTATATTATGATATTATATTGTTCAAATATGTTCAAATTACAAAAAAAACAATTACATTCTATTATGTTAAATTACACTATGTTTTGTTGTATTGTATTCTATTTTCTAAATAACGTTATACTATATTATATGATATCATTTCATTCTAAATTATATTGTATTAGCTTATTTTATATGTTATCAAATTTTCCAAAACATAAAAAATAAAACATCATAAAATAACAAAATAACATATGATAAAAATAAATATAAGAGTAAATGCAAATGTATGTATGTACGTACGTACGTACGTATGTATGTATGTATAGATATAATATTATATGTGAATATATATATACAAACATATGTCAAATTCTATCACTTTCCATATCGTTGACGTGTACCAAAGCTACTCCATTCAGCGATCTCTGGTGAAAATCTTGCGGCATGCGGCCTGAATAATGGGTGAAGATCTCGAAATCCATGGGAACTTTCCTGGCGGAATTTGTGGACCCAGATGGACCAAGCCTTGAAGTCCCCCAAAATCTGGAAGCCGGCTTCCATCTGGTTTCCAGCATCATGTTCATTCATTATTACCATAACTCATGTTTCTTCATTTTCGTTTCGTCTACCCAGTTTACCCCATATTTACCCTCATATCCCATCATATCTCAGATCAGTGTAAATGATGTTAGTGATGATTTTGTTGCTCGGATCCACCATTTTTTAGCTGAAAAAAGTCGATCGCCGTGCCGAGCCGCTTCATCCCGTGAGTGGCCGAAGGGACTCTCGTTTCATAACCTTGGAGACTCGGCTGTGCTGGTGATGCGATGCAAACTGGTTTCCTGCTAGTTGTGGCTGCAATATTGAAACATGTCACCTAGAACAAGCATGAAAAACTTGCAAGAAACAGTAAGTCTGACGGATGCACTGTCCTTCTCTTTCAAACAATGGAGGTTGGATGGTTTTGGAAATGTCCACCGACTCGCAGCAACTGGCAGCTGGATGGCTGGATTTCTAGCATGTTGCAGCTATCTGCAGCTTAGAAACCTGAGAAAGCCCACATCAAGAAGCTTCCCTGCTGCAAGAGGGTATAATGTTTTCCATCCAAGGTGGTAATATGTGGATCGCCCGCCACATTGGCAGTGATCGCATTGTTTGTGGAGCCCGCCGCCGCAGGGGCCGTAGGGAGCGCACAGCCGCAGGAGCCACAAGATGGCGACACTTCGCTATCGCAGCAGGCGGCACTATTTGAGCAAATGTTCGCTCCACCTCGGCACCAAATGAAAATGGAATAGATAGAAACTGAGATTAGTTAAGATAGATAGAGATAGAGATAGAGATAGATAGAGATAGATATATATATATATAATATACAGATATAGATACAGATACAGATAAGGATATAAAAAGAAAATGAGAAATAGATAGAGATAGAAAGACAAATAGATAGATAGATGGATAGAAAGATATATTGATAGATTGATCGACAGATAGATAGATAGATAGATAGTTAGTTAGTTAGTTGGTTAGTTAGTTAGTTAGTTTGTTAGTTCGTTAGTTAGTTAGTTAGTCAGTTAGTTAGTCAGTTAGTTAGTTAGCTAGTTAGTTAGTTAGATAGATAGATAGATAGTCAGATAGATAGATTGATAGACTCGCTTTTGAGCCACTCAAGGGTGCACTGCGGGGTAAGGGTGATACGTTGCTATGATGCATGTACATGGTGCAAAATGGATCTCACTCCGGTCGCCTTTGGAGTGTGCATCCGCACCGTCAGCCCAGGCAATCTCTGCAACGTTTAAATTCCTGCTTGGGGCGATCCTCATGCCCATGTTTCAGGTGGTTGCAGGATGCCTCATGATAGCAGCTTCCGCTGCGTGTGAGAAGCACACGTGCTGGTGCTTTCTTCTCAGCCAGCTGTGTGCGCAGATCTAAGATCTCCTGACCGTATTGGTCCTTCAGCCGTTTTAGCTGGTCGCAATCGGACTCCAATCTGGCCATCTTACGCTTGAGCTCCTCGTCAGCCTCGCTCGGCGCTGGCGGCTGCTGGAAAAGAGCCCCTCCATCTCTCATTCGTCGATCTCTTTCTTCTGCTTCTGCTCGAGCTCTTCGCTCCCGATCTTGCAGCGCGGCAATTTGTCGTGCCGATGCTGCCACTGCTGTCCTTGACTCTTCATAGTCATCGTGCAGCTTGTCAAATCTCTCCTCCAGGAAGGCATGCTTCTCGTCCAGCTCGTTGCGCTCCGTCAGGGACTTCTCCTTGTCATCCTCGAGGATTTCTCGCAGACGCTCTTCTTGTTTGCATGGCTCAGCTGACCACAGACTTGCTCGCTGTAGCCGAGCCACTTCTGAGCTTCTGTGGTCTTTTCCTCCAGTCGCTCCTTGTATCCATCCAGAGCGTCATCTCGGATCCGTAGTGTGGTTTCCAGCTCCTCCTTGTCGTTCTCCACCTTTCTAAGCCTTTTCCGCAGAGGGCGGATCTCGAAGGCTACATCTTCTTGCACTTCCATCATGTCCAGGTTGTCCTTGTCCACATCCATAGGCATGGCACCACCAGGAAATTAAATTCATCCTTTATAGGCAGCAGCCATTTCGGCTTGCTGTAGATCTTGTTGAAGATGTAATGCGCTTGACCATCTTCTCCAAGTTGATGGCGAGGATCACGGTGACAAAGATCATGATGTAGACCCCGAGGAAGGTCTCGTTCTGGGACTTCTCATCGTCCTTGATGTAGTTGTGCGTCCGCTCATCGCCAGTCTCATAGGCAGCAGCTGCTTGAAGCATCGTTGCGGCCAACAAAGCCTTCGTCGAATAGCTTCCAAAAGCTACAAATCCAAGCCAGATGCTTGCATGGCTCACCTTGACATTCTTTCGTTCCTCCTTCTCGATCTTCTCCAGCACCTCGTCATCGCTCATGATGATGTTGTGCTCGTCGTAGTCTGTCAGAGTTGGAAGAACTCGTGATAGAATTGGATGGTCCGGCATGTTGTAGAAGTCCACAGTGCCACTTGTCATCAGCTGGAGCATGCTGGCATGGACCACCGGCTTGGTGAGCGAGTCGCTCGTCATGCACTCCGTAGGGACCAGCACCACCTGTCTGATCTTGCCACTGATCCGTGCTTCTTTGACTCCAAGCACGTACAATCTCCGCCCTTTGTCTTGTGGCAGAGTTCTTGTGCCCGTCACGAGCTCCCACAAGTCCTTACAGTCGCCGTAGAAGTCGATCGGAAGCTCCGGGTTGCCATTCTCCTGGATGTAGATCAGCTGCTTCACAGTTGGTGCTCGTTCGGGTTGATTCAGCTCGGAGAGACGAATCATGATCAGCGTAGAGGCTTCAAGTCCATTGACCATTGAGAGCGTCTCAGCATGGGAAGTGCTGTAGCTCACCCGCTTTGCCTTGCCACCGCTTGCATGTAGCACGCCATGTAGTTGAACTCCACGTGGGCCACTGTCCTCAAAGACGGTCTCCAGGTCGAAGGTCTCGCCCTGGAAGTAGTCATCGGCCAAACCAACCAGCACTCCTTCTTGTGCATAGTGTCGGCCTGTCGATGCAGAGGAAGCATCATGGATGCACATGAGGCGTTGTTGCCGAGTCTTCATGTAGCAGTAGAAGAGGCCAATGTCCTGGAAGGCATGCACCTTGTCCAACACTTGGTTCTTGATCAATAATTGTCACACGGCTCTGAAGAAGGGAGAGATCAGCATTGATGTCCAATCTTGTAGCCGTCAGCCATAGAAGACCTCCCAGAATTGCTCTGAGCTCGGTGATCTCGTCCTTGTCGAGCTTTTCCTCATCGCCTCGCTGTGGCACTCGAGCTGGCTTGAGCTTCTTGGCAAAGTCCTGCTGGTGGATCTTGTAACCGTTCTCAACCTCGCATTCACATCCACAATGTGTGAATGGAAGCTGTTGGCGCGTCACCTTGCCCTTGTACATCTCATCCATCCATTTCGAAGAGGCAGTGAGGGCAATGTGATCCACATGGGTCGTTGCCATTGCCACAGTCGTTGGTTCTCCTTCCAAGAGAAAGTGTTCTCATCAAGATGTGAATGTTCTCCACCAGTGGTCTTGATGAAGCTGTGGAAGCATAGTTGCCATGCCAGTGGGGCGTCGTTGAGACCATACACTGGTTTCACGCACATCAGCGCGTAGTCGTAGATCTGGCTCTCCGTCACGGCAAGCTCAGGGCTCATTGCGCTGAGGTGACGGTACACATTCAAAGGAGGCAGTGCCACCACAATCCTTGTAGGTGCACTGATGCCATGCTCCTTCAGGGCACGCTGAATCTCAGCAAAGTTGAACCCTTTCAGAAAGGCTCCGGCCACGTCTCAGGACTCCAAAGCGCGCTCCTGACCGCAAGCAGCTTGACTCAATAGAAGTCGTTGGGATAGTCGCGTCGCGGTGGTGGATCTTGTGGTCAGTTGATCACGTTGTTGATCCAAGAAACCTCTGGCGCAAAGTCTGCTTTTGATCTTGTAGGGGCCATCTGGGTTGCGCTTCCATTTCCGCACCCATCGCGCATCGACCACCACCATGTCGGACATGATCTGGGATCTGTGGATCTTCTTGAAGGCACGCTCATCCACAAACTGTTGTGGTCCTGCGTGCTCCGCAGCATCAACCTTGTCCCACATATCCGGTGTGATGTCATTCTCATCGATGTTGGAAGTGGCCTCGTCCACCTTGAAGATTCTGGCTGTTCGAAGGCAGGCTTGAGCAGGGCCACCAGCCTTGTATTGGATGTTGAAGAGTGCTGGTAGCAATGCACGTTCTTGATCTCTATGTTGTTGAAGAAAAGATCTTGTTGTGGAAGTCATCAGATCGTAACCATTCTTCCAGCCATCAGCATAGTCCCACCAGATCAGCTTGGAGTGATTGCTCTCGTTGTACCATGCCCGCAAGAACTCAAACTCCTTTCTCACAAGGCACACCTTCTGGCAATTACGCTCAGGGGCCAGGACCATGGTTCTTGTTTCAGGGCCATCCCTCTTTTTGGATTCCTTGTCAACGTCCATTGATCCAGGGGGAGTAGACGCAGAGTCATTCGCCTTGGCTGACTGGTCAGGTCTGATGCTGGGGCTGGTTCTTCTGCAGGATCGTTGTAGTAGTAAAAGTAGAGAATGCAGATCTCTTCCTTGACATAGGCGCTGAACTTCTTGGCCTTCAGGTGGTTGGCGTTCTTGTGCTCCTGCACGGCATAGTTGTTGCCACCTTGGAGCCACACAATCAGCGTTCCTGTCGTGTTGTGGGGCGGCTTGAAAGTCCGAAGAGACTTGCCCAGCACGATGCCATGGATTGTTGCCTTCCTCATAGACTTGGATACCAAGTCTGCCCAAACCATGGCTTGTTTGGCTTGGAAGTCATCACGTGGAGGACAAACCCAGGTGCCATTGCGGCGTTGAAGCCATCCATAGGTGTAGACCTTGTACTCCACGAGGCTCTCCACATAGCGCATCAATCGGTGCAAAGATGTCTGCTTCTTCGCTGGGAAAGCTGACATGGAGATGCCCCGATAGGGTCTAATGTGGCGAAGTGCCACAAGGTATGGCTTGCCCTGGTACTGGATGATGGCTGTCCCTTCGTCAGTGTCAAGTCGAAGGTGCTGGGCCTCTCCATCCTGGATCACCTTGCCTTCTCTGCAAAACTCCACTTCTGAGGTTCCTGGCACCAAATCAGGAAGTTGTAGTTGATGTGGTCGTGTCCTGCTGGCTCTGGCCACTCGATCTTCTACGATGGCCTGTTGAGTCTGTGCCAATGCAGTCTGGCGTATACGGATCGCCCTCTCAAATGGGGTGACGTCCGTTTCTGTGGCCCCTTCCGCTGCGAGAACTCCTTCACTTTCCACCTCATAGAAGCCACGAGGAAGGATGCCAAACACCGACATGCATGGTGTTACGCCCTTGTAGCTCAGAGTCACGTTGTGGGCCATGGCACTTTCACGGCAAAAGTCTTGAGTATCATGTTGAACTCCTTGGTGTCCAAGTTCAGCACGAAGTTTGAACATGGTGAGCTTGATGAGCTGGACATGGCGTTCCGCCAGTCCGGTGCCGGTATGTTGTTGTGCTCCTTGTCCGGCAGTTGTCCCTTTTGGAACTCTTTCCATGCGAAGCCGTTCAAACTCAGCTCCCGTGGTATGACCCATCAAACTCATTTGTTGATCCATGACGACCTTGCCTGGTGGTCCAAACACAAAGGCGCAGTTTCGCAGCAGGCACTGTAGAAGTTGCTCGGACTCTTGTCCTTCAATCACATCACATAGTTTGAAGCGCGTAGCTTCATCCACCATGATTATGTGCCAGGTGCCCTCGAAGTGGAAGAGGTCAATCTGGATGACGTCCTTGAAGTTGGTGATGCACTTTGATCTCATCTGAGGTCCATTTGGCAGCCTGATGTATTTTCGGCACACTGGGCACGATAGCACCGCTTCTTTGGCCAAAGCCAAGACTTCAGTGGGCATTCCTGCTCGATGCAGCAGGTTGGTGAAGACTGAGAGCGGTGTGTGCCAGAAGCGTTCATGTAGTCCAAGAAGAAGTCGAAGTGCCCGGGTGTTGTCGGCATCAGCTACAAGCTTCGGCAGCTTTTCCAACACTCGGCGCAAGTTGTAGTGGGGCTTGATTGGAACCAGTTCTCGCCGATCTTGGGCTTCGAACTCTTCTTCTTCATAGGCTGCATCTTGTAGAGCTAGGGCTTGATGATCTTCTGGTCGTTCTTGGATTCGAGCCAGAATTTCAGCATCGTCTTGTCGTGGTGGAAGTTCTAGTTGTGCTGGAATGCGTCTCGGTCTTGAAGATGGCATTGATGGTGCAGGTTCTGCCCCAACATCTTGTCCATAGACCGTGATCATCCAGTTGTCAACCTCCAGAGATTTGTTGATTTGGGTGAAGCTCATCTCCCGCAGATCTTCCATTGGGTGAACCACCCAGTGCTTCACGTGGCCAATGATTGGCATCCTCAGGTAGGCTGTTGAAGTGACTACCTTGGGATCTGCTGAAGTCTTGCCGAAGGGTCTAAGCTCAACTTTGATGGCCTTGACCTGCATGTGCTCTGCAAAGATCTCCTTGAAGATCGCCATGGTCACTACGTTCTCGGCCCAATGGACGTAGCCCACCTTCCGTTGAGCAGCTTCAACAATTAGACCCAAGGCGGTGTTCACCAGCTCCATGAGGACCTTCTTGAGGTAGTGCGTCGAAGAAACGCTGAGCTCCTTGTTGGTCTGGTTCTCGAGGAGGATCTGCTCGAAGGATTCCTTGTCTGCAGTTTCCTTCCACTTCTTGAAGGGATCTTTGTTTTCAAGCCTTTGAGGTTGTGGTTTGGTTCCTTCTGCATAGCGTCCGTGACGACATTGTCCAGGAATCATTGAGTGCTCGATGCCTTTGGGGCAAGCACGTTCAAGGGTGCAGCGCACACATTCGTAGCATGCCTGTGATGTGAACCACGACATATCTGTCGGCCAGGGCTTGATGTGGAGCAAATTCATCTTGTTGAGGTAGTTGATGTAGTCCAACTTCACAAGCTGGCACATCGTCTTTGGATAGATTGCAGCCATAGCAGTCCTCAGCAAGCCATTTCGTGCAACACCTTGTAGATGAGAATGGCCTTGTCCACGATGTCCAGAGCATCGCAATGCGGTCTTGTTGAGAACTTGATGTTTGCTCCAAGACCTGTCGACTACTACACAAGTAGCCTCTATCGTCCTTCAGGTCCTGGATGCATTGATCAACTCGTTGCTTTGCATGATGATCTGGGATCTGGGAGGGGACTCCTTGTCGTCCTTCCACATGGCGCTTTTTTATGGCTGCTCCAAGGTGTAGCCGCGATATTGTCGTGATTGCTTCTCGCAGGTGTCCTGGATCCAAAGAAGTCCGGTCGTTCTTGAAGACGCTCGCAGTGCTTTACCTCTGGGTCCTTCATATTGGCCGAAACTGACCATGGTTCACAGTCAGGAAAGGCATGAATAATGCCTGGGGCAAACTCATCTCTTGCCCTTGACAACATCTGTTGATGGCTGGTAGCGGGCGTCGACTGGGAAGCCAATGACCAGTCCTGCCAGAAGAAGTGTCAGCGACAAACGTCCACTGCCGCTGCAGATCTCCGGGAAGTGCCATCGCAGACCCCGACCTCGGGCTTTGGAAAACCATAGGTCAAAATTGCCCGGTGTCACAGGTCGTAGGCCTGTCTTGTTGTAGAACTCCTCAGGCACAGCTTTATATCTCCTGTTCAGCTTCGCCTGGTCCATGTTGGGCGGCAAAAATGTCGCCGGAGTACTTGGGGAACTCGTCCTCAAAGCTGTGAAACTGTTCGGCTGTGGAGTCGGTCTTCTGCGCTCCTTTGTCACATGCATCTATGCAGGGCTTGTTGAATTCCTTGGTGTCGTGGTGAGAAATGCGTTCGTTCTGAACGTCTTTAGGCAAAATGCCTTGATGTTTCGCGATCTCCTTGTCCTTGGCATCAGTCCGCAACCCATCAGGGCTCTCAGCAGTTGATGTGTTGATGTTGGATGTGTGTGTTGGCGGATCATCTTTCTTCTCCTGGACGTTGTTCAGCTGAAGGGCTCGGTCAGCAGGAGGTCCAACTGATTCACCCCGGTCGCCTTCTGTCTGTGCGCCCCGAGATGATGCCATGAAGCAGTGCTTCATCTTTGGATAAACATCTTTCCAAAGCTGAGTAGCCTGTGTTGCTACCTTGTTGAAGAAGGCTGTCACTTCTCGTTTGGTTCCTTCTGGCATCTTTGCCCGGCTGGCTTCACCAGTGGGCAACAGGTAATGTCCTGACTCCGTGAGAAGCAAGCGAAAGAGCCTTGATCTTCATGGTCTCCTGGTTGTCCTTGTTGGGCTTGTCGCGCTCAATGTCGACTGTGAGCAGGCCGTTGCCGTTCTCGAAGAAGTTGGCGAAGATCACACTGCTCATTCGGCATAATGCCAGGGTAGGCTTCCTTCACCTCCCAAAATCTCACCGGTGAAGGTGATGGTGTGGCCACCTGCAAACAGTGGCAAGGTGAGTTGAGCAAGTGTCCGGTCTGAGGCACCGCTGATCCCGCTGACTGGTGACGTCTTCTCTTGCAGGATCTCCACTTGATCTTGAAGTCCAAAGGGCCCCACACAGCTGCGCAACAGTTCTCGCAAGGTCTCTGGCCCGACCAAACCTGATGCAGCCCCAGGGTCTATAATTTAATGAGCCCCCCCGGCGTTTCTGTCCACGGACCACAAAATACTCCTTGATGTCAAAGAAGCAGGAGGCAAACGTAAAGGCCGTGGAGTGCTTCTTGTCTTTGACTGGCTTCTTGTCGTCCTCTGCAGACTCCTCAGTTGATGTAGATCTGATGCGAGCCACCTTGCCCAATTTGATGACCTCATCATCATCGGTGGGCGTGTGGATGGTGTGCACCTTGGCCGTGTTGCCAAGGATTCTGACACTGCAGCTGAAGGCAAAGACGTGTTGGAGTTGGGGATGCCGTCGGTGTTGTCAAGGCTTCGACCAGGCTTTGCGCTCAATCCATGGAACCCTGTAGTGCTCGTCGTTGAAGTAGCTCCAGGTGTCGTGGAATACCAAGAGCGCTTGCCATAGCCATTGCCCTTGAAACCATTCCTCTTCTTGCCTTTGCCCTTGATGTAGGTAGGACGGTTGCCAGCCATATCCTTTGGACTTGCCGCCATAGGATTTCCCTTTTCCTTTTCCTTTCTGAAAGCCATACTTGCCCTTGCCATTCTGTCGGCCATCACAAGCCAATGGGCAATCCTTGACCATATGCCACCTGGAGCCGCAGTTGAAACAGCCTTCATGATCTTTTCCTTTGGCTTGCCATAGTAGCCGCCGGTCTCTTCGTCCTTGGCGTTGGCGTCGGAGTCCTGGCTCGAAGGTGCTTGAGGAGGTTCTTCAGGATGTGGTTCTGCGTGCTCCATGTCATACTCAGGGTCGTAGTGCCAGCCATCATCATCCCAACATTCATTCATACCAGGAAGTTGCAGGATCTTCCCAGTCTTGCCATCCTTCGTCAGCTTCACCTTAGTGCCTTAGTAGTTCCACCAGGGATCCTCTTAGGGGTACTCGTACCAGTTGTCGTAGTAGTCATCGTCCTCAGCAGCGTGGAAGATCTCGGTGGTATCGTCGTTGCGGTTGGGGCTGAGGCGAAGTGCAAGTGCACGTGCTTCAGCAAACTTGTTGTAGTCGCCTCCAATCTGCAACTTGATATCGTCCACCGTCTTCGTGCTCAAGCTGCTGTGCTTGAAGAGCAGGAAGAACTTGCCGACCTCGCTGAGTTGAAGACCTGCACGGTTTTGCTGCTTCACCCAGACGTGTTTCAAACTCAACACTGTACTCGGCCAGAGCCATTCGGCTCCTCCAGATGTTGAAGAAGCGCTCGAGAGCCTGGGTCGCAAGATCTTGGTCCTGTTGTCCAAACGCTGCCTTCAGGGCTGATGTCAAAAACTGGACTCGCGATGGGATGTGGTTCTGGATGATGGCTCCTGTCTCGGGATCTCGAACTTCGTCCACTGCCAAGCGGGCTAATGCCGCATCTCCTGTGTCTGCTGTTCCATCGGGTCTCGGAACTCTGAGGCTCAGAGCAATCTTCGTCGCCTTCCCATACAAGCAGCCTGCTATCAGTGGCCCTATAATCCAATCATCCAAGCTGTACCACGACTTCAGCTTGTTGAAGTAGAGGCGTAGCGGATAGCTTTGGTCACCAACCTGCCGTCGTGGTGGGATGTCTCGGCGAAATTCCTGCAAGGGAATCGTGGTCATCCCCACGTCGCAAGACCACCAAGAGGTAAGCAGGAAGTAGCGCCAAGCAGCTGCCAGGTAGATGTCGATGTAGTCCAAGGCCACGATCAGGTAGATCAGGAAGAAGGCCAAGATGTCGCAGGTCACGGCCTTGCAGATCTGGATGTAAATAGACCCCGCGGAACAGGTAGAAGGCCTCAAAGACCAGGCACTAGACCTTGAGGATCTGGATGGTGGCTTCAAAGACCAAGATGTATAGCAAGGGACCTTGTCCACAAAGTCCAGGAGCCAGGAGGGCCGTCAGACCAGGGGGCGACAAGGTGATCACGGGCGGTGAAGTAGCAGCCAAGGTAGTTGTCGAGGTCCTGGATCGAAAGCTCCTCACCAAGGCCGGGCTCCACGTATGAGGCAGCCCCCACCAAAGGAGGCAGCAGCTTCACGAGTGAGGCCAACGAAGGCCCAAGTAGGGAGCCCCACGAATGGGGCTCCACTACCAAACTCGCTTTTGCTTTTGAGCCAATCAAGGGCGCCCTGCGGGGTAAGGGTGATACGTTGCTATGATGCATGTACATGGTGCAAAATGGATTTCACTGATAGATAGATAGAAAAAAGATAGAAAAATAGATGGATAGATAGATAGATAGATGGATAGATAGATAGATAGACAGATAGATAGATAGATAGGTAGGTAGGTAGATTGATAGAATGATAGATTGATAGATTGGTAGAAAGATAGGTAGATAGATTGATCGATAGACAAATAGATAGACTGATAGATAGATAGATAGATAGATAGTTTGATTGACCGATAGATAGATAGATAGATTGATTGATAGATAGATAGATAGATGGATAGATAGATAGATAGGTAGATAGATAGATAGATAGACAGACAGATAGATAGACTGGATAGATAGATCGATATATAGATAGATAGATAGATAGATAGATCGATAGATAGATAGATAGATAGAAAGATAGATAGATAGATCGATAGATAGATAGATAGATAGATTGTATTAGATTGTATTAGATTGTTGGATAGATAGATTGATAGATTGATAGGTAGATAGATAGATAGATTGATAGTTTCATAGATTGATAGATTGATAGAAATATTGATAGATAGATAGATAGATAGATCGATAGATAGATAGATTGTATTAGATTGTATTAGATTGTATTAGATTGTTGGATAGATAGATTGATAGATTGATAGGTAGATAGATAGATAGATTGATAGTTTCATAGATTGATAGATTGATAGAAATATTGATAGATAGATTGATTGATAGATAGATAGATAGATGGGTTGATAGATAGATTAAAAGATAGATAGATTGATAGATTGATTGATTGATAGATAGATTGATAGATAGATTGATAAATTTATAGAAAGATAGATAGATAGATTGATAGATAGATAGATTGATAGATAGATTGAAAGATAGAACGATAGATAGATAGATAGATAGATATATTGATACATAGATAGACAAACAGACAGACAGACAGACAGACAGATAGATAGATAGATAGATAGATAGTTTGATTGACCGATAGATAGATAGATAGATAGATGGATAGATAGATAGATAGATAGATAGGTAGATAGATAGATAGATAGATAGATAGTTTGATTGACCGATAGACCGATAGACCGATAGACCGATAGACCGATAGACCGATAGACCGATAGACCGATAGACCGATAGACCGATAAACCGATAGATCGATAGATCGATAGATCGATAGATCGATAGATAGATCGATAGATCGATAGATCGATCGATAGATCGATAGATCGATAGATCGATAGATCGATAGATCGATAGATCGATAGATCGATAGATCGATAGATCGATAGATCGATAGATAGATCGATAGATCGATAGATAGATCGATAGATCGATAGATCGAAAGATCGATAGATCGATAGATCGATGGATGGATCGATGGATCGATGGATCGATGGATCGATGGATCGATGGATAGATCGATAGATCGATAGATCGATAGATCGATAGATCGATAGATCGATAGATCGATAGATCGATAGATCGATCGATAGATCGACAGATCGATAGATCGATAGATCGATCGATCGATAGATAGATACATAGATAGATAGATAGATAGATACATGGAGAGATATATGTATAAATATAAATATATACATATATACATATAATTGAGTTTTTGTGACATTTGATTCTGTGAAAGTTTGTCCAAAATCACATGATCCAGGCACAGGGGTTTGGAGTCGTGACCTCTAGGCACTGCAAATTTATCGACCCGGTTGCAATGTTTGAGCACCCTGCTCCTGGCGGATGCAACGTTGGATGCTGGAAGCCTGGAACAGTTTTTTTTTTGTTTGGCTCCCATCCTTTCGAAACACTGCTCGATTGCACATGTGAACCCATCTGCCCCGTCCTTCACAGAAGCACCTGCTGCCGCTTGTGTCGTTCATCACTGAAAGGTCATTGCAGGTGGCATTTTCGCAAACCAAATGGATGCAAGTGTCTTGCTGAAGGCTGATTCGTGCTGCATTACATGTCCCTGATGAGTCCGCTGTATTGCCGCAGGTCATCTTCACTTTCTCCTCGC